TGTAACACAGGATATGAACTCGTTGGAACAACTGGTGGGGAGAGAAGAACTTAAGAGAGCATCTGGTTGTATATCAGTGTCAGTTTCTTCTGTGTGCCTCACCATTATTCAGTATGAAAGCATATATGATACGGTAGTCTCAATGAAGATTGAGTTGACAAAAGAATACTCCACATCATCACTAAATTTGTCACCTTAAATTAATCCCAAAAAGCAAGCTGAGTTACTGAGAACCTCAAGAAGCTATTCAGAAGCCTGAGACTATGTCAAAGACATTCCTTTTCACAAAAGAAATCAGCTGACAAATTAAGCTACACACAGAATGGCCTATCAAAATAAGTACTCAAAATTACCTATTTAACTGACCCCTTTTCTACATGCATAACCATAAATGAGATCAAACAAGTATGCAAAACTACTGCCACTTCATCAGCCCTGTCCGCTCCACAATTATCATCAGCTTCCTGTACTCCCATTAAAAACTGACCACCACCACTATTCCACCCCATGAAATTAAGAGTAGGGATTTTAGTGTATAGTCGTGTAACCAATTAACCGACAAACCTAGGCTTTTCGGTTAATCCTAACTACACACACTCCCCCTCTCTCCCCCATATACAGAGGCAGCAAGAGGCGGCGGAGGCAGGAGCCAGTACCCTGGGGAGCCAGTGCCTGTGCATGCTGGCTCCGTGGAGCTGCCTGCCACCCCCTTTACTGTCTCCCAGAAAGGCAGGGGGCAGGCAGGAGACAGTGCTCAGAAGCTTAAAAAGCCAGCTCCTGACAAGCACCAGCTTCATGGAGCCACCTGGGTTGGAAAGATCCCTCATCTGGATCCACTTAGTCAATTAACTAGTTAAACATTAGATTAGGTTAACTGGTTAAATGTTAGGTTAATTGATTAACTAGGGTTTTACAGCCGTAGAGACTCCATTCAAAATTGCATAAGTGGACAAATGCAAGAGTTTTATAATGAGGCAACTATAGAACTTACTTTTTCATGAATCATTTCTGCTTTCTCACAGCTGGTCTTCAAGCCTTCGGAAGTTAAAAGTTCTGACTTCATGTGAGCCAATTCAAGTTCTAGCTGTTTAATCTTGGATAAAAGCTGCTGATTTTGTTCATCACTTCCACTGGTAAATCCAAAAAATCATAATTTAAGAGCAAGAGGTCACAACAAATCATGCAACTTAAAATTAAATCAAATATTTGATAGAATAATACATTTGTCTAATATATAGAGTGAATAACTTCATGGTAAAACCAAAAATAGACATTGTGACCCTACCAATGAATGTCCTCTCAAATTAATATTTATTATTTAGGATATTCATCCTAAATATCTGTTTTAAATCAATATATTCTAAAGTGATGATCCAATCTATAATTAAATGTCTATGGGATTTTACTTAGTTGGTGATGCAATAGTAGGACACAGATCTGTGGGATTCTTTGTAGTTTCTATAGAACCAGAGTTGATGCCCTTTACATGACTGTCATATTTTAAACAAGTTAATGGATATTAAACTCTGGGTCTAAAATTATAGTATGGCTAAGTCAGGCCTCCAGGACAAATTTCTAAGCAATACAAATGTGACAAAACTATGTCAATGAAAATTATATAAAGGGAAAGATTGACTGTGTCATTCTAAAGCTATTTTATTAACTGAATTCTTATTTAAAGTGATGTACACTCAGTTCTAGCACACAATTTATTCTCAAAATAGTTGTATCTTGGAGAAGAATGCTGCTCTGTCCTAGTAGCACGTGATCCAAAAATAGAAATGAAGATAGATGATTGACAAAGGGAATGCAGATGAAATTAAAACAGCACAGAAATTGAATGTGTGTGAATCCCTTGGAATCAGAACTTGTCTCTAAGCACATCATCATCAAGTAAACTGCTTAATATTTAGTAAGTGGTCTTTGTGAAATTTCCAAAAATCCTCATTCTTGGAAGTTATCAGGATTTTTGTTGGAAAATGCTATTTACACAAAACCAAAACTTTTTGTGGAAATGTGTTAGTTTTGGCAAACTCTGTCAAGAAAACTTCTCAGATGTAGTCCTACTCAGCCTCTTAGGAGTGATAGTGAATTTATGCCATCTACTCTTCTAGAGAAATAGGGTGCTTAAATAATGGTCAGATATTGACGGCTGGAAATAGGACTGTTCAGAATTCAGAGATGGTCTTCTTGCACTGATGTCTAGAGTTTTCACCAAAACATATTATAAAAGTTTCACTCATGCTGATGAAAACTTCAGCAAAACTTTGCCACTCAACTGATATACAACAGGCATTAGAAAAGGATAGTTACTGTAGTTCAGTGAACGATTCCTACCATCATCAATCAGTATCAGGATTCAAAATGCAACATATTAGACAGACAGTAGTCATACCTCACTGTTCTTGTTTGGGTTAGTTCAAGTTCCTTCTGGATGTCCTGATAGATATGAAAAATCTGTTTTAAGAAGTCTATTCTTTAACTTCAAGATTACAAACAAGGATAATTGCCACACATAGTGAACATGCTTGGGTAGCACCCATAAAAGATGACATTCCTAAATAATTTAGCTTAATGTTTCTGTATATGCATTTTTATAAGTCATATTGTGTCAAGTTACCTGCTTTATTCACCAGAATCTGATGAAGAGTGGTCTGTAGCTTTTGTTTAAAAAACAAAACAGCAAAAAGACAGCATGTGCAGCTCAATAAGACTTAGTTAAAAATCCAGTGGCCCAGTTCATTGGCACAATCTGCCAGACAAGAGTCTGAAATAAATTCCTGGGTTTGGATGTACAGTTGACAGAGGCCTAAATGTTTTCTTCCTTGTATGAATGAAATACAAGCCGCCAGGTACTATGCAAAGATCCCACATACCTAACCTACAAGCGGATATTGGACTTGCTACTAGCTCTCCTTTATTACATGGTAGTTACTACATAGTGTCTTTGGAAGGGAAAAGGTGTAAATGAGGAGAAAGATCTCCACAGCCACTTGGCTCCCATCCCTGACATGAAGAGCTGCATTTGAGGACACAAGTACTTTGAAATTTTCAGAAACATGCAAGAGAAGTCTCAGAACTCTTGTTCATATAGCACAGAAAATAAAGCACCAGACACTGGAACCTAGAACAGGTTGTGGCACTAGTCCAGCCTGTTGCTAATACAGATGTGTACTTATAAGTAAGGGTAAGATTAGATAATGGAGGTCATAAAAGTCACAGAATCCATGACTTCCAAGAGATCTAGTGACATTTTCTGCTTCAGCTCTGAGGCGATGGGGCTGAACACACAGCCACCAGGATTGAGAGCAGGAGGCTCCAGAATCATAGCAGGGGTAGGTGCTGGACTCTCCTCCCTCCCCATTTTGTCACAGTTGTTTTTAGTAAAAGTCAGGGACAGGTCACCTGCTCCATGCATGTATATTTATAGCCCGTTCATGACTTTTACTAAAAATAATTATGACAAAATCTTAGCCAATGCAACAGAAACGTGTTGCATTGAGTCAGACTGGTTTTACAACATAAATGTCTTCACAAAATATAAATAAAGTTCAGTGAAACTAGCTTTTATTTAATCATTTGTCTGCTGTTATGGAATTTAAATAAATGTATTATACTACTGAAAAAATTAAGCTATGTCTTCACAGCACAGTTAGCTTGAAGTTACCCCAACTCAGGGGTGGGCAATAATTTTTGAAGGGAAGGGCACTTCATGAATTTCGGAAGTGGTTACAGGCTGCCCTGGAAGGGGTGGGGCCTTGTGCGGAAGGGGTGGGGGCAGGACACTTCGTATGCTCCCCCGCCCACAGACCCTGATTGGCCTGGGGGTGGGGGAGTGTGTGAGGTTTTGTCCCCACCCTGCTAGTTTTGAAAAGCTGTTTTGAACAGCTGATGGTTCCCTCTAAGCCCCATGCACTCCTGGCAGGGGGAGGAGATTTTGCGCGCTCCTTCGTCCCCAGGTCTCGATTGGCTGGGGGGGGGGGGGGGGGGAGTGGCACAGAGGCCATGGGTCAGATCCAATGGCTTTGTGGGCCGAATCCAGCCCATGGACTTCGTCTTGCCCACCCCTGCCTAATTCAACTCCTGTCTGCATCCAAAAATCTTTGAGTTAAAAGGTACTTTAAGCAAGCTACTTAGCCCATTGCAGGTGAGTAGAAGCTCGAGTGATGCTGATGTTCAGGCTAGTAACACAGTGGAGATACTGTTACAACACTTCCTCAGCAGCTAATCCAATCACTCTGCTAATCCAATAATTCTGTGCTGATAATTAAATCACTGGACAGTTGTTTTGAAGAGAGGTTGCTCTCACTGAAGTATATTCAAGCTAACTGTTTTAATGAAGACAAGCTCTTCAGAGTAAGGCTAACCCAGTTTTGTTTTCCAGGGCAAGTGAAAGGCAATAGGAATAAAGTTTTTCATGTGCACTTCCTGCATTAACATGAATACCAGTTTTAAAAATATGAATTCAGTTATTTAAGAAGATTTTTAACATGTTTTTATTTTGATGGTCTCTAAGTATGCAAACATGAAATGACTTCAGCTTTCTGCGCATGCAGACAGACAGAAACTTGTGTCTTCAGTGAAACAAAAAGATAATTTTAGTGAGTTAGGGAAGTGCAGACTTAAAACTTGATAGCTGGAATGGTGCTAGATCAATGTTGGGAAGCTTACTAAGCAACTTTACTGTAGTTGACTAAAGTTTACTCTATTTATTTTATAGAGGCTATGCTTTGGAGTATATGTATGTAGGAAGGAAAGAGCCTTTTAGTACCTCAGATTTTGCAGAAAGTTTTCCAATAAGGTCTTCCAGTGTCAGAATACGCAAATCATGTTCTTGGTGCAATGCCAGAAGATCAGTCTTAAAAATAGAAAAAAAACATGTTTTATTTACTGAGGACAAGATAGTAAAGTTGCTATTAATATCTTCAGTAAAATCATTACTTTCATGCTGTGATCATGCCAGATGCTCTGTGTATCAAGGATTAAATATTATTCTAGATATGCTTAAAGTCATTTTAGTTTAATTGCTTTTCAATGCCAAGCTGTGCTGCAGAAGACTAGCCATTTGGAGATAGCTCTGAGAGATCAAGAGCACAAGAAGGGGGCAGTATTGCTGACAAAACTACTTGCTTTCTGCCTGCTAATTGGCAGGGCAATATTATTAGAAATTGAGAGTTACTTTTATTAGCATTTTTGTCAGATTAAAGTTTGATGCCTCACATAAGCTATTACTTAGTAGCCTATCATACGTGTCTCCTGAAATGTTTCTGGTTTTGTACTGAAAGTTAACCATGATATGAAACGTTAGATGAGATTTTTCTAAACATTTAGAATAGTAATTCTCAACCTACAAGCCACTTGTGGTCCAATCAATCACACACAGCTTCGGCCTTTGTGACATCTTCCCGGCCATACATGTAATTTGTACATTGCATAGTTGTGACCCACAACACAAAGAGCTGCTATGAGGCCCACAATGGTAAATGGGTAAGAACTCTTAATTTAGGAGTTAAAATCCCATCAAAAGACAATGAATGTTCCTAAGTAACTTAGGCAGTATTGGAATTTCAACTCATCACTTTCTGATGTTAGTTTTCTACTCTGACCTTTGCTAAGTTGAAGGAAAGAAGTTTATTAATAATAGGCTATAATAAATACTGTCCCCAGCATCAAAAGCTGTATACACATTTATATTAAGAATGAAAAGTACACAATAGGATTATAAATATAGCCTACTCTAAGCATTTGACTTTTCGTAAGTGACAAACCCTTTCATCTAATTCTGGTATTCTTTCTTATTTCTGATGCTGTAATATTATACTTTAGGTTATGATTACCCTTTATTACAAACGTTGGGCAGTGCAAGTTACACAGAGCTCTGTCCCTGTCGTTGTCCCCCCCTCTTTCTACCCCCCTGGTTCTTCACATCCTAAAAGACATCCAGCATCTGTTTTAGTGCCGCTTTCCTAAAGGGCAAAATTCAGGAGTTGCTAAAAGACTTTTAGATCTGGTAAATGGCAGGTTTTCATGTTGGGTTACTATCCACAGCCTTCTCTTGATTAAAAAAAAGAGAAGCCAGAAATTAGGGTACAGCTAGACTGCGGAGGGTTTTCAGGATACCGGAGGTATAACTGAAAAAACTCCACTGCATCCAAGAAATGTGGTTGCTCTTCCGCTCTTTTTTGTGGAACAGCAAACACGCTCTTTCAGAAATCCCTGTATTCCTCGTTCTACGAGGAAGAAGGGGGCTTTCAAAAGAGGGCTTTTCTCCAAAATTTGGCCCAGTCTAGACAGGCCAAATTTCGGAAAAGCCTCTCCTGACAAAAGTATTGGAAAAAACGCAAAAAGCCAGGCACGTTTTGCATAGCTTTTTCTGATGGATCCTCGCAGTCTAGACGTACCCTTAGTTTATGCCTCAAGGACTGTTAGGCAAGTACTCCGTTTTACAAAAGATTTATTCAAGCATCAATTGAAATAAGCACATTGACTGCAAGGGGTTTAAATTGAAGGCGATAAGTGAAAATGCAGAATTCTGATTTAGAACCCAACACAAGAAATGTTATCTTCAATTAAAATTTGTTAGACTATTGTACCAATGTAGGTCTTGGAAATAAGCAGTTAAGTAATTACACACCCCAACTACACTCTAATTCCCAGTCTCAGCTTCAACTATTTTTATTAATTCTCATATGGGCTCTTAAATATAAAGTAAATAAAACCTTACATGCCATTTGCATGATAAATGCAGACTAGGGTTAGTACACTAATCAATGTAAGAAATCAAACATTCATTTTATCTTTACCGTTGAATGTGCCATTTCCTCAGATTGTCTTTCCTTAAGATGCTGGCTCATTACATTTTTTATTAATATCAACATCTCACTTTTGTCATTCATCTGGACAAACTGATCCTGAAGCTTCTTGAGCTGTAGCATCACTTTGCCATAAACTTCATCATTGTTATGACATCTGTCAGACATGAAGGCTATTTGCTTTTCCAGTTCACTCATACGACTAGAATCAAAGAACTGTATGGTACCCTAAAAATGTGAAGATTTATATATAAAAGAATTAAGTAAGCCCATCTGCTCCCAAATTATTCTTGGATTACAGTTTAGTTATTGGAAAAAATCCAGTAGCAAAAAGTAAAGAAGATACCTTTTAAGAAAAAGACTAAGTATTTTACCTGTGGAGACTCAACATAGTGAGAAGAATCAGGACGTGGTTTAAGAATCTGCATAGAATCTTCAATTCTTTGTGTTTGATGTATGCTTGACCAACTGAATGTAGGCAGTAATGAAAGGAAGCCTTCTAAGCCCCAGAACCATATGCCTTAGGCAAGATAAATTAAAGAAAAACAAAATAAAAATTATTTATAAGAAGAGGTGCAATCTCAGATTTGTCGTTTAGATTAATTCTTTATACGTAAGGACAGGGGCTCTGTTGCATTTGGAAAGTGTATCTAACATTGTGGGCACTAGCAAAGTCTAAACAAAATAAACTTTTTAAAACAAATTATGTTTAAGGGGTGTTACGGTTGAAGCACTCAAAGGTTAGGAAATACCAGAATTAAGGTTGCTTGGGAAACCTTAACTTAGACTTATGTGTATGTATTATGATACAATTCTCACATGATCATGTACCTTCCCATGTCTCAGCCAGTGCACAAGATGCACTGCACTCACTGAAAGGAGCACTTAAATTTTTTTTTATCCTCATTGTTCTATGGGTGGCCCTATATCTTATTTACTGCCCACCAGCCAAATCCTGCACCAAATACAGAATTACTTATTTCCTTATGAGTTTTTTTCTATGGTATATTTCATGGTAGTATCTTAGGGTATGTCTACATTACCACCCTAGTTCGAACTAGGGTCGTATGTAGGCAACCGAAGTTGCAAATGAAGCCCGGGATTTAAATATCCCGGGCTTCATTTGCATCTTGCCAGGCGCCGCCATTTTTAAAGCCCCGGTAGTTCGGACTCTGTGCCCGCGACTACACGCGGCACGGAGTAGGTAGTTCAAATTAGGCTAATTCGAACTACCGTTACTCCTTGTGGAACTCCTCATGGAACACGGAGTAACGGTAGTTCGAATTAGAAAGCCTAATTCAAACTACCTACTCTGTGCCGCGTGTAGCCGCGGGCACGGAGTCCGAACTACCAGGGCTTTAAAAATGGCGGCGCCTGGCAAGATGCAAATGAAGCCCGGGGTATTTAAATCCCGGGCTTCATTTGCAACTTCGGTTTCCTACATTAACCACCCTAGTTTGAACTAGGGTGGTAGTGTAGACATACCTTTAGTGCTTTACAAATGTTAATGCACTTAACTTCACAACACCCATAAGGCTAAGCAGCATTATCCCATCACTAAAACAATCTCTCTGCCAACATTTCAAGTCCCTGCTCCAAAGAATGGAGGTACTAGATCTTTTCAAGAGTTGTAAGATTTATTTTATTTTTTTTTAAACATGATGAGGAGCAATTTTCCTTAACCTGATTCTCAGAAATGACAACCATTTTAGGTGAAAATTTTTAAAAATCCATTTCTGCCCAAAATGTTTAACTTATACAGAGTTACAAGCAACCAAACAGATCATTTTATAATGGAAAACATTGGGCCACTGTAGATGCTGACTACAAGTACAGTACTAGCACCAATAATGCAATCAGAGTTCTTTATTTAACCAGTCATCAATAAATAATCTATATAAAGTGTCAATGGGCTCATTCCAGTTCCTGGTGTTCAACCGCTTGTCCTGTAGTTTTCTTCAGAGACATATCCCACGTACTGAAGGGGCATAGAAACGTAACTGCCTTCTCACAAGAAGATATATTCTTTCCACGTCAGAAGGCAAGTACACTAGCAGGTCAGTGTTGGGGAATGCTTGACTTGCTGCTGTCTATCAGCACACAGAACTTCCCCATCTTCTGTACTTAACTGGACATCTTTCATAAACATCAAGTTCACCAGAAAATGCTATTTTGTTACATTTGTAATAACCAGTTTGCACTAGCAACAATATATAAACGCTTCACATACCTAGCAAAAACAGCAGTGGGATGAGAAACAGTAAAAGTTTGTAAATCTTTGGAAGGCATCTAGAAACAGAGAGGTAAATTTAGTTAGACGTGGAATGGGTATGTCATTTTTAACTGTGATCTATAATTGATTCAGGCACTAATAGGAAATAAACAGGTGTTTAAATTTTAACCGGTGTTAAATTTTAGAGCTCAGTTTTGTGGATTGTATCACAAGACATGCTGATATCTTGTGAAATCAGAATTGGCATCTTCACAGGTAATTACATTTTCCCCTCCCCCCAGAACATACTGGAAAAAATAAAAAAATATATAATAAAAATAAGATAACTTGTCTTTAACATGGTGGTACCGTATTTGGTAATTTGACATGACTGTATCTCTATACAGCATTTTTCCAATGAGAGAGTCAGGCTCACAAAGTTGTACCCATTAACTAACACACACAGCGATATTTACCACTATGTATTACATTTCAGTACATAGATTTCTATTTTCTTCAGTGTAAATACATATTTATGTCCACAAGTGTTAGTGGAATGGAAGTTACTAATGCACAGGAAAAAGGAGACTACAAATCATGAAGTATAATACACAGCATACAAGTATAAATAATGGTGCCTCAGGACAGAGATTAGCTCAGTTTACAGTAGAGTGAAATGTCTTTGTATTGTTTAAAATTCAAAGTCATACGGAAACACTGTCCTATCCATAATCTTAGACTGATCTAGCTTAAGTTTTAGCTACATAGAAATACATACTTTTTCCTGTAGCTCAAATTACACAGAGACTATGCATCTGAAAAGTACTCAAGTATAATTTTTTGACAAATTCATCATGCTTATTCCTTAATCTGTTAATATGGATAACAGACTTGTGCTACTTGTAGTAGTTTTTACTATTTTTAATTTTTTCACCCAGTATCTTATATTTAAAATGGAAATATATACTTTGTACAAAAAGATGTGCAGCACCTTTGATATAGAAAGGCAAAAGAGTTATATGATCTGAAGAGAATAGATCCGATATATGTGTGTTCTCCCATTGTCAGAATATTAGGAGTTGTCTAGACTACATTCCTCTGTCGAAAGAGGAATGTTAATGAGTCCGTTCAAAAGTGCAAATGAAGCAGAGATTTAAATATTCCATGCTTTAATTGCATATTTACGTCTGATCGCTGTTTTGAAAGGGTTTTTCGAAAGTGAAACCGCAGTCTAGATGGGGTTCTTTAGAGGAAAAAAACCCCTTTTTCGAAAGAAGCCGTATTCCTCATTTTTTCAGGAGTACAGGTTCTTTCGAAAAAGGGTTTTCTCCTTTGGTCACAAACATTACATTTTGTATTTTTCAGTTAGTTGTAATTAAAATGGGTGAAATTATCCTGTTAGAGCACAAATCTTACCAAATGTATAATTCAGGAAGAAAATTCTGTTTAAAAACAAAATTTGCAAACCTTGTAAGAAGAAACACATTGAACAGAGAAATCAGAGTAACAAGTTGATACCATCCAGTTCCAAGCCACCAGAATGCCCCAGAAGCTGCCTTCCCTATAAGAGAAAGGATGTATTTGATGAAATAAAAATGCAATTATTACAGAATATGCTAAGGAAGACCAAGCAAAAGCACATGCAAGCATAGCATAAAATATTTTGTGCAACAAAGAGATTGTTGTGGTGGATGAATATAGGTGAAAGGAGACACAGGAAATGTGTTTTTATTTAAATTTATAACAAAGTTATGTATTGCAATGCAGTATCAACTACTTAGCACAAAAAAGCAGCAATGCATGAAGATGAAATGTGTTTAGTAAAGCAGTAACTAACTTTCATGAAGTTAAATTCAACACCATTCAGCTATGTTTAATCATGCTTTGTACTTGGGTACCCTTTTCAATTAAAGTTCTCGATGAGCTTCAAAAAGGCATTACTATTCATTTTCCTGATAAGAATGCTGTGATACTATCAGATTAAGCAAAGCAACAGGGAATTAATGGGAGAATCAGGAACAGAGCCCGGTCTTCCTCATTCACCTTTCGTCCACTCTAATCATGAAGACATGCTGCTGCCACTCATATGAAGCAGCCTTGTTAAGCCCCTATTGAATTTGTGAACACAGATATTTCTTGTCACTGAACAGTTTAGCTGTTACAAACAGTAAAGAACCTTCCAAAGCTCAGTTGAGTCAGCATCAGCAAGGCAATCACATAGTGCAGAATACTAGTTTGCCAGTAGAGGCAGATAACATGCAATGGCACAAATAAAAAGAGATGATGATAGTAACCTGGAGAAACAACGGCCAGCCAAAGTAGTGATAACATCTTCTGAGTCACAAACCATCCTGTTGCTCCCACTGTTTGCAATACTTGTAGCGCAAAGTAACCTGGTACATAACAAATGAACTATATATGTGTAATGTATATACAGACCTGACACACTGTATGCTATAAAAGCAGTAGAACAGAGATTCTTTAGCTTCTGAAGTTATGAGAATAACATACACTGTAATGTTAGTGCATATCCTCCAGTAGTTTGTAAGCTTTTTGAAACATTTACACAAAATGAGCATTACTGCTACAAAACAAAATATGGACATAAGTGGGCTAACACCATTACAAGGAAAAAAGGACAATATACTGGTATATAGACTGTTCAAACTTCTTGATTTTCTCACCTGGGTAATTAAAATATAATCTTTTCAGCATATAACGAGCCTATGTTTTGTGGCAAAATATTCTGTCAGAAAAATGTCCTAATTAATACTTTTCAACCATCCCCTTTTTAGTATAACACAAAAGTATGCTTTAGTCAGGCAACCCTTTCAAAGTTTCTTGGTTTTGTCTTCAAGTGTGCTGTGCAAATTTGTGGTATCTGGATTGGCAGGATTAATGTGGAAGTAGAAAAAGGAACATTCAAAGCTTCAAATTGTAATTCTTCAAAATTATTTAAAAAATGTGGGTCGTAATAGCATCACTAACAAAGGAGATATTGAGAAATATAAGAATTTCTTTATTGAAAGTATATGCGGTAAATAATTGTTCATTTTTATAATTAAATCTAACCGTGTGTTTCATGTTATGACAGTGTCAGTTGGGTTTTTTCAAAGGCTTGACCCATAGCCCGCTGAAGACTAACGGCCTTTCAATCAGACACTGCATGTAGATTCATTGTTTTTGTTCTATAGAAACAGAACACCACAGATGCATTTAGGGGAATTCTAAACTTTAGATTAGGCAGATATGTCATGCTGAGTCTGAGAGGCACCGCACAATACAGCCCAGTATTTTACAAAACCAGTTAGGTGAGTGAAGAAATGTCTCACACTATGCTTGTTTGCTGTAATTTTTTTTTTTTAAAGACTAATGGAAAATGCACTGAAGAATCTTGATGATGCCTGGACCTATTCAAACATTAGTAGGTCCATTTCACAGGACCAATTGTATACCTGATATTCCTGCAATAATAGGCTACCACAAAATAAAGACAGGGTACAAAATTAATAAAACACCCTGCATAGGAGTATCTTAATGTCCCTTTTCTTTTTAAAAGCCTGTTTTCCATCCTTCCAGAAGCATACACTTGCCTAAAGTAGATCTTAAAAACAAAACAAAAACAAAACAAACAAAAACCCTTTGCTTTGTATTTAATATTTGAAAATATACATCATGTGGTATAAATTACCGTAACTTCCCTTTATAGCAATTGTGCCCCATGTGAACAAATTATATACGCCAAGTTCCTTCCTAACCTAATCAACAAGTCTAATATTGCAACAAATACTACACGGAGAAGAAAAGATGTCATGAAACTATTCTTGCAGAATATTTTACAGTTAATTTAGCCTAATCTACTTTGTAAGTTACAGTTATACTAAAACACAAAGCAATATGAGTGATTAACATTTGTGAAGATGTGATGTAAAATAAAAGCAAACAAAAAAAAAGGTGCAAGTCAACCTGCATAAGAAAAGGTGTGCCAAATGGTCCTTGCTACCCTTTTAGACCTTGAGGATTGCATGTGGACTGTTGTGTGTGTTTCAAGATGTTTCTTCCCCTTACAGTCATCACCTGTTGGTTATGGTAACAATCAATTAATGTGACAAATTAATCAATACAACTACTAACAAGACATACATGTTCCAGTTATGTTACAGTCACATTTTCCAAACCCAAGAACTAAGATAGATAAGCAGGATTAACAAGACAAAATCCCACAGATATTTGCTCCTATAGAAAATGTAGTGGTAATAAGCTTGTGTATTAATATTTAGTGTCTAAATAAAAAAAAACTATTCAGGTAAACAACTTCTACAGAGTTGTTTTATATCATCTAGATGTCCCTGACATCCAGGATTCCAACCCAAAGCTAAAAGATAAAAAACAAAAACAACCCCCCCAACCATACTTACATAATGATTCCCCATTTATATCAAGATGACCATCCTCTTTGAGAAAGTCTTTTACATTCATACTTCCACAGTAATTCGAGTGAGCTGCAATACATGCAGAAAGAGGGTATAGAATTTAACTCTCTGGAGTCCAAAGCTTCCGACAGCTATCTTAAACAAGCAAACTGACCTGATTTATTTAATTCTAAGCCTAAGCCATCAGCCTAAGCCACAGGAGACCTTAAAAAAGTATTTGATGTGTAAGGAGACTTGACACATGAGCATTTTTGGCAACTTTATGATTCCTAAAAGAGACACTACTACCCTGTAAGTCAAATCTTTTTTCCTTCTTGTTTTTTGCCTTATGAACATTAACTAAGTCTTGTCTATTCTTTCCTGGTTTTGCTGTCAACATAATCTACATAACTTCAGTTATACAAATAGCGTAGCTGAAGTCAATGTACTTACCACAGTGCCTTGCAAGCAATAAGATTGGCAGGGGGCTGCTCTCCCATCAACGCGGCTACTCTTCTTGTCCTGGAGGAGTACTGGCATTGATGGGAGATTGCTCTGAGATCGATTTATCATGTCTAAGCAGACGTGATAAAAAGATGGCTGGTGGATTGATAGCTGCAACACTGATTCCAAGCATAGTGGAAACAGGTCTTTAAATATGGATTGGATACTCGCCCCCAAAGTGAAGGTTGCATGTGATCTAGCGCAACTGTTAAACACTTATTTAACTCACATACCCTACCCCGACACACAAATATTAGGGGAAGCAGTTTTTAACTGAATGGTTAATATTGAGTTTTATTGGTTAGTACCTGGGAGTCAAACTTACCAGTTCTCCATTTGCCCATAGCACCTTCCAGGAAAGCTTGATTAGATAAGATCTGAGTTTCTAATACAAGATACACACAGGAAAAAAACTCAAAGTCAGATCTAGTAGTCTAGAATTTTTCATGGAACACACTATAGGCAATTGAGAATTAGTCCAAGCCTCACTATGTAGCAAATGAAACATGGATTAGTTGAGGATGTGACTGGAGGAGCAGTTATTTTTATTCTGTGTTTAGAACTGCTCTATACCTATTTAGTTCAAATATTCTACTAAAAAACCCCATTGTTGAATACCCTATCCTCTCAGTTGCAGATCAATTACTACACCACTTTCCTGGTTTTAATGAAGGATCCAGAAGAGACCAGACAGCGCCAATATCAGAAAGGCAGAAAAAACATTACTGGACGAAGAGGAGAAATCCCTTTGTGGGGAGCATGAAGGATACAGCTATTTTCTCCACTTGACAAGTAAACTTTAACATAATAATTATAAGATTTACTCTGAGGGCATACCTACAGAGCAATGTGACACCCACGTCTGACCTGTGCCAGCTGACTTGGGATTGTGGGGCTATTCCATTGCTGTGTAGACTTCTGGGCTTGGACTGGAACCTGGGCTCTAGGACCCTCCCACCTTGCAGGGAGCCTGAATTGGCTGGCATGGGCCTGATACTGGTATCTAGCTGCTATGTAGACATACCCTGAGAGACAGGCAATATGCATCACATGACCAAAGTTATCCCATACAAGCAGAGAACAGCCTGCAAAGAAAGGGTTAACAAGGAGACAACTTGCAGAACTAAAATAAACCGAAATTTAAGAACACGAAGGTCAAGTCTAGAGGAAGCAACAAAACTGCATTTTGAAAACACTGAAAAATTACAGTTTGGTAGTGTCAAGTCCTCCCTCCCCCACAATACCATTTCCTGGGAAGAAGAAAAGACCAAAACCCATAGTTACCACAAACCTGTATACTGACACTTCCAAAGAAAACAAGGTGCGAAGACAGCAAGTGAGCAAAAGAGAAACAAGCCGAATTACTATGGAAGACACCGTGGTGCAACAGGTGAAATGGATGAAAGCCACACAAGAAAAAAGCACAAGGCTTTTTATGGAGGTAGTGGCTTTGGAGGAAACAGAGGAAGACCACTAAAAAGGTACCTTTAAGTTCACAACCCAACGTCAGCAAAACCATTTGAAATAGTTGCACTAACAGGGATGCAAAAGATGTTGCAGTATATTTGATCAATCGCAGAATCTTATTCATGTAGAAATAGGTGTTTCCTATCAAAAAAGTGTGAATACAAAATTATTTGCCTACACAATTTCATTCTCCATTTATTAACTATTTGCATTTCCACCTGTTGACAGCAAATTAAAAATGACTAAAATTTCAATTACTTATCCAGGATACAAAATTTGTGGATGTGTAGCAATTGTAAGTGGATGCTGACTTGACAGGCGTAGCTGCTGAATTTCCCCATTTATCTATGGCTAAGTATACCTAAGGCAACAACAGTGAAAGCTTCCCAGGAATGTTGGCATGCCTAAACCATGGCCTGGAGTGACAGTCTTCCCAGGGCAAAAGACTCAAGTTACAAGTCTTTCCTGGTAAAAGAGGACTGAAAACTTGAATACAGTTTCACTTATACCAACATTTAAATTGCAATTGATTCATTATCTTCAGAATTCAGAATTTTTCAATGCTGAACCCGTGAACAGTTAGTACCTCTACATCCCGATGTGGAATAAAAAAAAAGGCTTACATTGAATTCTTGTTAAAAGTGAGGGCAGAGAGGAAGAGAGCGGTTTCTCCTCCTCCTGCTTCCTACTTACAAATAGAAGGAAATCAGATACAAAGTTTTCCTAGCACTGAAGGCAGTTACTACTAGACTTTTTTCTCTGTCTCTTCTCCTTCACTTGAGAGCACACACAAAAGAATAACTGGCACAATCATCCCTGTACTCCTGCTTTCTTAAAACTTTTGGTATTTTATAGGCAATCAAGATTTGGCTCTCTTTGTTTAAACTATTGAGCTGCTGAGAAAGTGCCGACGTAACCTCACAGATGGATATTCTCGCAATATTTATCTTGGATAGCTTTGTTTAGAAGAGAGAGGGTATTAAGATTTTAGACTTCAATGTACCATTTTAATATGAAAGTTTATGAAGCCTGTGTGAGATTGGAGTCATTTTGTACAACCGTACAGTAAGAGACAGTCCTTGCCCTGAATTGTTTATAAAGAATTTCCCTCGCAACTGCCTGAATTTCCCTGAGAGTGTCAAGAAATTGACTTCTTACTATTCAGGATATGCTTCAAGGAGGGGCACACCTTGGTTCAGAACAAACAGCAAATGAAACAACCTGTAATTAGCCATTCTTAAAATGGAGGGGAAGAAAAGAACATTCCTTCTAAATTGATCTTTGAGGAGACTACCAACAACCAAAAAATACAGATGACATGGTAGGATACTGAAGAAGATTTGACATCCTTTTTTCCCCTCAAGGAGAAGTACTCAACTAGAGCAGTATCCAAGGGGAGTAGACTGGCATAGAAAAGCAGGAGACCATATAGATAGACATAGTTGAGAAAAAGCTACAGAAGTTATACAGTAAGGGTACATCTACATTACAGGACAAAGTCAATTGAAGATACACAACTTCAGCTAAGTTAATTACGTAGCTGAAGTCGAAGTATTTTAACTTGTTGGGTTTTTTTGGCGCTGTCTAAACTGCAGAAGATTGAAAGGAGAACACTCTCCCTTCAACTTCCCTTACTCATCCTGAAAGCAGGACTACCGGCATCGACCGGAGCACCCCTCTCAGTTCAAATTAGCTGTCTTGACCAGACCTGCTAATTCAAACCCTGGAAGATCAACAGTGGCAGCTTCGATCTTCCTTGGCAGTGTAGGCATACCCTGAGAGAAGGAAATCTGCTGAAGCTACTCTGGGTCCTCTCTCAGAACTAATTAAAACCCTCTTAGAGCTAAGATCTGACAAGAGAGCCTAACTTACAAAACACAATAAAAATAAGAATCTAGAGAAGGAAAAAGAAAATAGAAGCGATTCTTTTAAAAATTAGATTTTTCCATATAGTAGATATTTACAAAGCAACAACTTGCTCATTATGTTCATTTTTTTTTTTTTTGGTTTATGCTCCTATTACTGATGAGTTACAATGGAAAAAAGTTTTAAAGCAGAATTTGAGTGACAAAATGATAACCTGACTCTCATTGTTATGATAAGGTATAAAGGAAAATAATCTACTGCTAAGTACCAATACCATCTGCAACACCACATTATGTCCCTAATGAATTTGAATAATGAATTTGAATGTATGAACTATTTTCTGCCAGATTCTGTAGTGCAATCATTTTGATGTGGCACATGTATATTCCTCTAATTGTATAGAAAATGGAGATAGTCAGATTTTGGCGCACAGCAGATATTAGCTCCATAAAGTATAGCCTGATGTAGACAAAAATTCATCATAGTATATATGCCAATCTGCATTTAAAATTCAATTCGTCTTGAGAAACTCAGCAAGGAAAAAAAAATCGTTATATTTTTCCAAGTACATGTTCATCAAAAAACAACACTTTACAATGCCACAAAACCACAAAAGGAAGAAAAATCACTTACTAGACTTATATTTTTGGCTCCTATCCCTAGAGTAAATTCTTGAAGATGGCATGTGAGAAGCAGAGTATGCTGTGAGGACCTCCTTCCGTTCAGAAAGCATACTGCAGTCACTGCAAGTATAGCCATTGATCATGGTCTGTGTTTCAGCAGCGGCTATATCACCATTTCCCTGAATCAATGTTGTGTCCCCGCCTGATGTATCAAAAAATAACAGTTAATTCATTTATTGCAATCTATGGGATGGGGTAGGGGAAGTTGACGAACTGCTGTTACCTTTAAGGTCGCATTCATCATCATCAAGCCCTAAAAAACAGAAGATTTTCCTACTGAGTACAGTTACATGGAAGTCTCCAGACTGGAAATGATTACTATAGTTAAATTGTACTCAAAACAAAAATTTCTGTTATTTTTAGAACTCAGAAAGAAGAGGCATTGTAATATTCTAATAATAAATGTATTCATTAACTGTTGTGGGGAACATCAATACATACAGATAATGTAACTGTAAACTGTCACTCAAAAGCTTATCTAGGAAGAGGAAGGTTGTGTCAAGAAGAAAACTGAAGTGCCAATATGTATCATTTTTGGCTCCCCTATCACTATTGAAATGGCTAGCTAACATAAGCTGTTTCTGTTGCTTAGTAACCACTTTTACTCCCACCATAGTTCAATGCATAACCTGGAAGACCCAACTAATCCAGCTAGTGTCAAATTTCACATATAAACTGAAGTTACAGTACAATTTCTTTCAATTCAATATTGTGGTAGTGAAAAATACACTAATCAGTAAAAAGCAATCTGTAACTGGATAGTATGGTAAAGTCCCACTGTTTCCAGCCTGTTTTATCTAAACAACTTCTAGTTTCATATATAAATAACTGTGGCTGGAAAGCTAACCTTTCTTTTTGGGAAAATTTAAGGTGTCAGTACCCTAAACCAGACTTCAGTCACTCCAGAGATTTCAATTGCACACAAATTTGTATAGTAAACTACATGTACACAGATTAAACTGAAATAAAATGTTTGCATTGTTAAATCAGTTAACAATATAAATTATTGTATATATGAAACAAACTGATAGCATCTTGTATTTAACAGATTCCTCAGGGGGAAAAAAACAATTTAAAAGGTCTTTACATAGATATCTGCAATTGAGCTACATCCTTACCCTTCAAGAAAGGAAAAAGTAAAGACTGAATGTCCTTGAGAGCAGGGCCGGCCTGAGCCCTTTTGGCACCCTGGGCCTGGGCATGCGGTGCTGCCCCTGGGTGCAGGGCACATGCATGGGCCCGCCCGTGGAGCGCAGACCCGCCCCCCCAGGGCGCTCGGCGCATGCGCGGGCCGGCCACGGCTGCTGGTGCACAGGCCGGGGCCCGCCCCCGGAGTGCACGGCGCATGCGCTGCCAGGCTGTGCAGGGCCCCGCAGCCGTGGGAGGAAGGGCGCTGCTGGCCGGCCGGTGCTGCGGAAGCCGGGCGCGCGGCTCCTGATGGCAGCTGTAAAGGACGCTGCGCCCCCCTTACAGCTGCCATCAGGCACCCCTCATTGGTTGGCGCCCTGGGCAGCTGCCCACTCGCCCATGCCTCCGTCCAGCCCTGCTTGTGAACATCAAAGCCATTTCTAGATCAGAGGAATTGTTACAAACAATCATTCCCTTCTCTCATTCTTCCACAGAGTTACTGCATGCAGCTTCTATGTTACATCCTATCCACCTAACTCCTCCCCACTCACATATAATATTAATACTTCTGATAAAGCACCTCTCTTATAGGCAGAGTAGGACCAACATTTTCAACAACAATGCTTCTCTCTTGCTGCCCAGTCTGGCACCTCTTACTCCAGGCTAAATGCAATGTTTTCATGAAAAAGGAGTAAAGGATCAGATTTTTGTTCATAAAGGATTACCATGTCCAAGTAGTCTGAGCAGTCAGAGACTGAAGCCTGTCTGTACACAAGAACTTCTGTGGGGGCCAGGTGCTTTTTTTGTAAACATGGACCACAATGGTGTGAATGCACCCCCATGGTCCTCAAAGTAAACAGGGAAATCAGCCCCAGCCTTCCCCTGGCTGGGCAGAGCATGGGGAAGGGAGGCTCAGGCAGCATGCTGCTCCTGCCTTTGCCTAGCTGGCCAGAGCGTGATTACTTAGGGGATCATGGTGGAGCTTTTGCACTCTCTGCACCCCTTCAAGTACAAGCCTGGTATACTTAAGCATTTTGCCAACATAGCTATATTAGAAGTGTGGTACAATGGCAAGAGTTCTTTTGCTGGTATAAGCTGCATCTTCACTGGTAAGGTATGCTGGAATAGCTATGTATGTAAATCCATTCTAGTGCAGTCAAAGTGTTAGTAAGATGGATTTCTCTCTCTCTTTGTTCCAGAGTCACTAAATGGCTTAAAACTAATCTTTCACAACTAGTAAATGTACTTTCCAGATAACCAATCTAAACTCTCTGGTTGAATAACAAGTGAATACTTTATCTAGATTATCTTTCCTTTTATTACAGACACTTCATCATGCCAATCTACTCTTGATAATCAACCTAATGTGACCAAACTGCATCTTAGAAATTAGAGCTCCTTCAAGAGGATTATAATCTGGCAGGCATGTCTGCCTTTTCAGGTAACCCGACATATACTGATTTACACCAGATTTTTCACTTTACCCCCAACTTCTCATACATCTCACTTTTTAAAAGTTATCAGTAAATGCAGGTTCATCACCCTCTGTATATAAATAAATAGCCGTGATACTTCATGATGCACACAACTACTCTGTAGTTTGACCGCAATTTATATAAAACCTCTTTTTAAAAATCTGCATTTAGTGTATAGCTGCAAGGAAAACATGTTAGTGGCCCAAACAGAACTGTGCATAAGCTTGAAACAAAACCCTATTAATTACAAAAGCATAAAAGAAGTGTCTGTCGAAAGGTGGTATAGTATGAGTCACATAATCCAAACAGTGGACCAGCCATTCAGGTGCCTAGTCTCCATAATCTCAATTTCTGCTATCCTCTAGAAATGTAATTTTTTTTAAATACAATGACAACTTCACAAACCTATTAATACACATATAATAGCTTCCTGCTTCTCTTTTGTGACTGAACAAATTATTTCACGCAGACTTACTTGTTTATTATAGTCACATGTTGTAATTTTCTTTTTGACTAAACTTGTTATTTAGGATTTTTCTTTATGATGCTTTGAGTATGAGACTCCAGCTGAGTTTCAGACATGATGACAAATACTAGAAGAACATTAAATCCACAGAGAGCATCTTTGCTATGTACCTTTTGTTTGGCATATCAGCCTCACTGTGCAGGATTAATATATGTTAAACATTTTATTCAAAGCTAATGTGTCCTCTGGCAAAACTTCAGTTAGAAATTAGACATTAAAAGATGGCAATACGTTTGTTGCTGTCAATGTTTTTAGGCAAGGAAGCTTCTACCAAAAACAAACAAAAAACAAAACCCCACAACCCACACATAACCAACCCCAAAATAGCTTTCAAGTCACAGGCTGGCACAAATCCTCAAATGTGTAGTTGCATTCTGTTACTTACCCCAAAAATGGTCAACTTCGGTTTGCTCCTGAATCAAAGATTCATCCAATACAGTAGATATCAGAGACGTATCACTGGCGTGGCTATTGAAACTACTTTGGCTAAAAATAGAAGAACTGGACACATTTTTTCTTGGAGTATGTTTCATAGTGACAGACTGTTTGCTCATACTTTTGCGCTGCTTTCCTGTTCTAAAGAAAAAAAAAAAAAAGGCAAACATGGAGAGAAGCCATAACATTAAACAAGAACATACTCAAAGACAGTTATCAATGGTGTGTGTCAAACTGGGAGGGCACATGCAATTGGAGCCAGCAAGGGTCAGTTCTAGGACTGATACTACTGAATATTTTCATTAAGGACTTGGATAAAATAATAGAAAATATACTTGTAACATTTCAGATGACACTGAGTTGGGAGGGGTTGAAGTCACTTTGAAGGACAGAATTAGAATTAAAAATGATCTTGACAACCTGGAGAATTGGTCTGAATTCAACAAGATGACACTCAGTAAAGACAAGTGCAAAATACTGCACTGAGGAATGAAGAAAAAGAAAAAAAAATCACATACACAACTACAAATTGGAAACTAACTCGCGAGGTGATAGCATTGTTGAAAGAGATCAGGGGTTACAGTGCCCTTCCCAATTCAATGAATACTAATGTGATTCAGTTGTGAAAGAGACTAATATTATGGGGTGTATTAAACAGGAGTTCCATATGTAAGACACAAAAGGTGACTGTCCTGCTCTACTCAGTACTAGCAAGGCCTCAGCTGGAGTACTGAGTACTCTTGTAAATATGAGGGAAGATTGGAGAGAGTCCAGAGAAGAGCAATCAAAATGATAAAGACATTAAAAAACTTGACCTATGGGGAAAATTTTAAAAAATGCACATATTTCATCTTCTTAAGACGACGACAACTAATGAGCAACCTGATAACAGTCTGCAAAAATGTTCAAATACAGTGATCAAATACAGTGATCAATTGTTGTCCACAGCCAGTGGAAGTTGGACAAGTAGTAACAAACTTAATCTGGAGCAAGGGAGATACAGGCTACATATTAGGCAAATCTTTTTAACTAGAAGGGAAGTTAAGTTCTGCAATAGGCTTCCAAGGGAGGTTGTGGAAGCCGAATCCTCTGAGATTTTTAGGAATGGTTGGACAAACATCTGTCAGGGATGCTATAGGTTTAGTTGGTCCTGCCTCAGTGCAGGAGGCTGGGGGCTGGATTTGACCTTTAAAGGTCTCTTCTAGATCTACATTTCTATGATTCTGTACACAAGTATGCCAAGGGCTGCATTTATTTTTGAATGATTAATTTAAGTATTTCATTTTGGTGGGGATACACACTGCACTCAAAATGCTTTTTAGGCTAACCAGTTTCATTGGTAACCAAAGGTACATACAAAAGAAACATTTGGTTTGTCTCCCCTTGCTTTCAGTATATAAGTGCAAACGTTTCAGATCTTTTATTGAAGACTACATATTGAATATTAGTTATACACTTCAAGTTTTGCACAGGAAAATTTGGCATGTCAAGGGGGTTAGATTAGATCAGTGTTTCTCAACCAGTGGTACGAGTACCCTTAGGGGTACTTGAGAGAAGTCTGAGGGGTATGTCAACACAACTGAAATTTGGAGAAAACTGAATTTTGTTTTAAGTTTTACAGCGCTTTATTATTGTTTTACTTTTTACACCCAAAAATGTCATTGCAAACCCGGCTACAATTAAGTTGTTTAAACAAATGTGTTGCAATGGTAGGGAAAAAAGTGTGTCTGAAAACAGTAGGTACTGGGGGTACTTATAATTTTTTTAAAGGGTTACTTTATAAAAAAACGGTTGAGAAACACTGTATAAAATGTGATCTCCTAATACTGTGATTCATATACCCAAATGTTATATATCAAAATATCAGCCAAGTAACCATAAACCGTGTAGAGCAGTGGTCCCCAACGCGGTGCCCGCGGGCGCCATGGCGCCCGCTGGGGCATTTTTAGGCGCCCGCCAACAACCCGGGCTGGCCCCGCCCCCTGGCGCACTGGAGGCGCAGGCCCCAGGCGTGCGACACTCACCGGCGCCTGGTGCGCAGCACTCGGGCGGCCCCGTAATGGAATCTCCACCCCTGGCGTGCCCCAGGACGCACGGCCCCGCCCCCGGGCGCCCGGCGCGAGTGTGGCCCCGCCCCCGGGCGCCCGGCGCGAGTGTGGCCCCGCCCCCGGGCGCCCGGGAGCCCGTAAAGGTTGGGGACCACCGGTGTACAGTTTCATTTAAGGGCTCTGATGAGTTCTTATGAAGAACAGACAGCTTTGTATGTTTTGTCATCTGAATTTTCATAATTTAAGCCCCAATCCTGGAAAGACTGAATTACCAGTTATTTCCAGTGTGTAAGGTTGTCTCATTGGCTTCAGTGGAACTAATCTTAAGCAGGTGAGTGCACAGTCCTATCAACTTCAAGGAGACCACTTGCAATACATACAGTTCAACAGGTGAGAGTTTGAGAGAGTTAGGATCATAAATTTGCTTCTATTACAATCAATTTCTCATTTAAGATATTTAATTTTACAATCAAATTTGTGTTCTAAAATGTTTAACAGATCCAAAAATATTTGTTTCATTGGAAAAAATTAAGAGGGAAGTATTCCAAAGACTACATAAATAACTGGTGCTACTGAGCTGGCACACAGCACATTTTGCCGCAGAGTTCCCATCTCAGTAAAATGCAACCAAGCTGACATTTAGTCCTCATTCTACTGTTGAAAATTATGTTTAATACCAAGAAGGAAAGGAAGCCATCTTTTTCTTTTCAGTTGTTTTTTTCTGTCCAAGGCTAAGACAAAATTCCCTTGGCATTAAGACTGAGATACATGTAATGTAAACTCTTTAGTTATAGTTTATTGGGGGTTTTACCATTTTTTACTGCAGTAAGAAATTAAATAGTCTCTTTTGCAATGCAACATTTTGACTTATACAAAATATATATAAAATCTGCTTACCTGGATGATTGGTCTGGCAAAGACATGTTTCCAGTATAGGAACTGCTATGTACGCTGTCATTTTGCGCATCATCTTTTGCGCTATATCCTGCAGTCACCAAGCGTAAACTGCGTCTTGACATTCTTGGAGAATCAAACACTGGATCCAATTTGTGTTCAGTCTCAAAATCCAGGGCAGTTGAAGAATAACTTGAACTAAAATAAAAATAAAGCTGTACAATAACCATTTTTAAAATACTTCAATTAATCAGTTCCCTCCCAAAAGTCTACAGTTTTAACAAACGTAACTTATCCCCAGTATGGTCTTGATCCTGCACAGAGAACCACAGAAGTTCCCAGCATCCTTACAGAACCCAGGGTGTTCAGGGTGTAGAGGTCTATGTACACAGTTGTCACTGTACGTTCAGGGCCCACAAAACACTGTTAAACAGCCAACAAGTTACTAGCAAAGTAATTGCTTACGTCTGTATGTACAATATAGATAAGAAGATACAGTACACATATTCCAACAAAGCAAATAAAAACAGCACTTTACAGAAAATACCCCATAATGATATCAAAATAATCTAATATCCAAAAAATAATTAAGTCCATAATTTTCTAAATACTGACTGGAAAAGTATTTGCTGAATTAAAGCCGAAGCAAGTATTCTATTCCAAGAGGGCTACTTTGTGTCGTGTAAGTTCACCCTAAGAAGTGATTTTCTACCCAGTTAAAATATATCATGAAATGTGAATTAAGACACAGTAGAAAAAATATTTACACATTCCAATTCTAAGCCAAGGTTGCAAACATTTTGGTCCAGCTTAATTGTTGATATCTAAACAGCCACATGCTGAGAAAGTTTAAAATTCTAAACAGTTTGTAAGAAATGAGGACCTTGACTGAACTTTTGTATAGGCAAATGTATCCAGAGTTGTGCCAATGGGTTTTTTTAAAAACCAATTTAGTTAACAGGTGAAAAAGGCTGTGGTCAGTTCTTAGTTGATTTAATTAAAAACAGATCTAAGCCAAATTGAAATAAGAATATCTTGCAAATATTTAACTAACCTGGTTTATTTCAACTGGTATAAGTTTATGTGCAGATGGTCTCAAAGCCTCTCTATCCTTAGCAGTGAAGCAGACAAATAATTCAGAGTTCTGAATCGGATTACTTTTTTATACAAACAGACACTCACGGAGATAACTATTGCTAGGAGAAAGCATGCGCTATTCAGTTTTGAGACTCAAAACTATCTAGGAAAAAACTGAGTAACAGTTTAACATTCTTTAAGACAGGAGACAGTTGGTGCAAAGCACATACAATTTGTCTTTATACAAGAAGGAAATTTTCATTATTCCAACTCAAACAAAATAGATTATTATAAAATGTCTTGGAGTAAGAAACCCTGGCTCCCTCATGCCACTAGATGTTGGAGAAACTATGTTTGTAAGCATATAATACAGACGTCTGGCAGTTAAAATCTCCTGGATAGCAGCTGTTCATTCCTAGATCAGATTATTATAGGGGAATGTTCCACTGAAGCCAAAATCTCTGCCGGGCCACTGGCCAGGTACAAAGTTGACTCCAGAAAAGAGATCAATGCCAAATTATGAATACACCAGACCTGATGTAAAATTTTGGTCCACCAAGGTACACTGGTCAGAGGTGTGAATGTCACACCCATGAGAGATATGGCTTACCTAACCTAAGCACCAGGGATTTTAAAATGTAACCGTTTAAATGGTTAACCGATAAGCATGAGCTTATCAGTTTCTGTTACGGTTATATGATCACTCCCACTTCTAGGAGGGATCACTGTGCTCTCTGCAGTATAAAAGTTATACCGTAGAGGCTGCAGCATGTGTAATTGATAGAATTTTTAGTGGTTACGTGGTAGGGATGTTAAATTGGGGTTAATTGACTAGTTGAGTAGTCAAAGGAATTTCCATCGACTACTTGATAGGCACTTCCGCATTCCTCATTTGAAAGACCCCACCTCGGTGTTTTCAGCTGTGCATCGCTGCCCCTTTGAAATGCCACCTCACCATTTCAAAGGGTCAGCCGTAGAGCCTGGGGTCAGCTGAGGACTCCCCAGTTGACCCTGATTCCACACAGCATTTCTCCAGCTGAACCCATGCTCCATGGTGCTAAGGTGTTTTAAAGGGACAGCGCCTCACAACTGAGCCATGGATCAGCTGTGTGGCAGCTGCCCCTTTCCAGCACCGCCTTGTGGTTTCAAAGCGGCAGTGCCACACAGCTGATCCCTTTGCTGTTTCTCTCTTATAGAGGCAGCGGAGGGGGAGAAGATCGACTAGTTGACAGACTGAAATGCTTATCGGATAGTTGACTAGTCCTTAACATCGCTATTACATAGTTACCGTTTTAAATGATTTTTACATCCCTACTAAGTACTGGTGTAGACACCAGTAGATCAATGGCCTCTCCCCTTCCATTATTGTAAGTATCTATACTGTAGTGCTACACTGATTAGCTCTATTAGTTATGCCACGGTAGTGTAGACATACCTCAAGTCTGTTTTTGAGCAGTTCTACGAGATATACCAGAAATGTTCAGTTTCACACCAACATCTCCATTGCAAGTAGCAATAAAGCCAGTCAGATTGGTAAATTCTATTATATCTGTTCCTTCCTTGCCATTGGAACTTTTTATTGCCATGTTATTTTTATATACAAGTCAATACATCATGCAGTTTATTTGCGCACACATATATTGCACCAGAAACTTAGATCAGACACCAAACACAAAATTTCCCTTCTGAATGTAATTACAGGAAGGCAAAGGATGTTTGAGAGAGAGATTTGGGCCCTAAGTGTTCCTGTCAAAATTTATAATAATTTTAGGACTCTCAAGAGTAGCAAAAGTTAGCTGAATATAAGCTTTACAGAGACATTTAGCAGAGGAGGAAAAGTTACCTAGAAAACAAAGTGTTCTTATATTCTGTTATTCATTCTTCACCATGGAAGATTAGAAACATATCAATAGTTTATTATTTATTTGAGAACATCCCTGAACAAATGTTTCTTGTGATCCGATTTGCTATTTGCACTTGCCACCATGCATCTGTTTTTTACTCTTCTGCCAGTGATACTTACAACAAATACGTAATTCACACGAACACCACAAAAGTACACAGAACAAATGACAGCTGCTAATAGCTTTAGTTTGTTTCCATTAGCAAACACTTCTACTAATTTAAAATTTTAATACCATGAAATTGTTTTTGTAGATACAATTTTAAAGTCTGAATTCACAGCAAATAATCTAAAACTTCATGAAGTCATTTTTTAAAAACAATTCAAAACTCTTGCACTTCGATTTGTTTAAGAAGTGTAGGAGGTTTCTTAATACTAGAGGAGAGCCAAAATCATCTTGAACTTCACTGACACAAATGAATAAAACTATGAACTCTATTTTCCCATATCATACAACTTCCATATTTTGGAGAATGATTTATTTTTCCTATTAGGGAGACCACTAAAAGCTTTCTTTACATATGAGCAGTTCCCTATCCATGCAGGTGGGGATCTGCTCCAGCCCCCACCAGTTAACCTTTCACATCCCTAGTGACAGCATGGGCTTTCATCTACTAACAGGGGCATAAAGTTACTAATCTCAACGGAGTTAACTACCAAGTTTCACTGAATGAAGCAGAAACAGAAATAGGTCCACTGAGTTTACCATATATTAAAATATGTATATGGGTCAATGCAAGTATAAGTCATTTTGCAAGTATTCTATGGGATAGACAGAAGTTGCAATAAAGTAGGTAAGGCCTCTCCAGTCACTAACAAGTTGGAGAACAATTCCAGTGCACACAAGTAAGCGAAGGACAATCCATGTACCTATGAGTTTCCAAGCAAGTAGATTATCAGCATATCACTGCTCATCTTTGTCTTTCTGGTTAGGATATGCATCAGCATGGATAAACATCTGTAGTAACAAGTTTGCCCTGGAGCGGTTACTCCCTTGCCCTATTCCAAACAACATAAGCAGACTATTCTCAATGTACAGCTTCTAAACATTGATATTTTAGGTTAATTTACTGAAGTATGGATTGAAAGTTTCTGAGTTAATCTTTTAGTTCAATGAGTACAAGACTCCTTTCTGTCAGTCAGACATACATATATTTTACTTAATTCTCAATACCCTGGGAAAGTCTACTTTAAGCCCAAACCTTTTCCATATGGAGGGTAAAATGGCCTGAATTGTCAGAACCACAAATCCTGTGAGAAACAAGAGGGGCTAAGTTTGGAGGTTAGTTTAATTAAAGTCTGTAAATTTTACATTAATAAAAAAGGGGATGAGATTCTCAGGTTCAACTTACATGCCGGGAAGGCTGAAAGATATAAGAAATCAGGTTCCTTTGACTAACGCCCAAGATACAGAATACTCATTAGTATATCATCTTTTTCTCAGTACAAGTGCAAACATTTAGGATCATGCAGTAACTCCTGTTAGGATTAATGGATGCTCCCATGAATAAATCATAACTGAGGCTTCTAACAGATTCCTAATATCTGGATTTTTCCTTTTCTACTGAATATTACAGTCTGTTTGTAGCCAGCACAGAAAATACAAGTCAATGCCCCGTCTCAGTTTCTCCCAGGAGTGACATGAGTATGCTAACCAAGCTATCTTACTGGGGTAGTTTAGTATTTGTAAAGCACCTTGAGGCCATTAAACCAAAGGACAGCATAAAAAAAATATATATACAAATACCCCACAAAATAAAGCAAAAAATAAACACTTATTAGGATATGGAATAGGGATGTTAAATTGCGGTTAATCAGCTAATCAAGTAGCATTTCCATCGACTACTTGATTAGTCTATGGGGGGGGGCACTTGCTTCATTTAAACTGCAGAACCGCAGTGAGGGTAACAGGAGCCAGACATGTAGCAGCCCGGCTCCTACTACATTTAAAAAGCAGCGACGCAGTGGGGTTAGCTCCTGGAGCTGACACGAACCAGCAGGCTCTTACTATATTTAAAATGCAGAGCCATGGCAGGGTTAGCTTCCGGGGCCAGCGCGAGACACAGGACACTGCGTTTCTGGCCTCCCCCCCCCCCCCCAATTGCCCATACCGTGGAGACAGTACTGAAGGGAACCCGCTTTTAAGCTGGCTCCCCCCAGCATCAGCTCCTGCTTCCCCCACCACTTGCTACCTGTGACACAGAGGCAGGCGGGGATGGAGAGAAGTGAGTAGTCGACTGAACTACTCTCTTACATCCCTAATATGGAAGAAAGTTCCCTCTGTAAGATTTTCCAAATACTATTTATCCCAAGGAGGGCTGACTTGTGCAAAGATGTCGTTATATGCTATAAAAGATCTCAGCAAGCAAAGAGTGAGATGGAAGTCCTACTCAATCAATGTGCCTTGAAGTGGCCAATGGGCTTTGAAGTTTATACTCAAGACTTTGAATGCAAATCTCAATGTGCCAACTTCCCCTCCTATTTTAATGCAAGTGTTGCCAGAGCTTCAGATGGTATTTTACTCTAAATTACAACTAGACAAAGCATTTGCAGATACTTTTCTGTGATATAGAATCTTATTTCAGAGCCTATTACAAAAGTTGCTATAGCTTAAACCAAAGCTATCAAGAATAGATGCGTCCAAGAATAGATTAGTTACCAAACTTCAGCTTATCAGCCTTTATCCTTGTCTCAGCCAGTTGTTTATCTACAATATGAAACGTGACAAACTAGCCCAATGAGATGCTATGCAGCCTTAGCAAATTTCACTTGCCCCATTCTCTCCTCCAAAAACATCCTCACAAGATTTTCACCTATACAGAAATGACAAAATGCCCAGTTTACCGATATCACCCAATTATCCTCCAATATGTAAAGTTGCCCTGCCACTCCTTTCACCCAAGCCTGAACAAACTTGTAGTCCTTACTCATACAAGACTCTCCCCATCAATTTCACTGGGTGTAAGAACCATAAATTAGAACCTATAATAGAGTGGAGGGGGAGAGGTCATCAAACACTTAAAGAGGTAAAAAGGGTCATGACTAAAAACTTATCAAACCAATGAATTTTTCTCTAGGGCTATGTCTAGACTGCAAGCCTCTTTCGAAAGAGGCTCTTTCGAAAGATACTTTCGAAAGAGCCTCTTTTGAAAGAGAGCGTCTAGACTGCACGCGGAACTTTCAAAAGAGCAAGCCGCTTTTTCGAAAGAAAGCACCCAATGAGTCTGGATGCTCTCTTTCGAAGAAGCCCTATTTACATTCAAGAACGCCTTCTTTCGAAAGAAGCACTTTCGAAAGAAGGCGTTCTTCCTCGTGAAATGAGGTTTACCGCCGTCGAAAGAAAAGCCGCGTTCTTTCGATTTAATTTCGAAAGAACGCGGCTGCAGTCTAGACACAGGTGAAGTTTTTTCGGAAAAAGGCTACTTTTCCTGAAAAAAACCCCTGAGTCTGGACACAGCCTAGATGAAAAAAAAAATTAAAGTACTGCCTCTGCCAAAACATTTGAACCTGGACAACACAACAAATTAAAAACCAATATCTGGAATAACACCAAGAATTATTTATTCCCCCTCATTCCAGTTTAATTTTATTTTAACAGAAGCTGGCTATTTGGAGAGGCTACAAAGGTAAAATTTAAAAATGACTTTTTGTTTTAGATGATTATTCAGAATACAATATCTTAAAATCAGGAGGAAAATGACAAATGAGATTCTAATTTCATTCGTGTATTTTTCAATAAACAGAGAATAAATACAACTTACAGAATAGACAAAAAATGTGCGTGAGTAATTTTGACAATAAATCTGCAAGCTTTTCATTCATTATGTGAATTTCCCAGTGCTCTCTAACAGTAAGTTTCTTAAAATCCTCATCCCACTCCCCAAAATAACCACATTATTTATAATGCAAATGTAAACATATCTTCCTCTAAAGTAAAATATTTATGGATAAGAAAAAAAAAGTTACTTTTCTATAGGTTGAAGATTGATGTCGCCTTCTAGCCCCGTTACAAATCCTTTAGATACTTTTGTGAATTTAGAAAACAGATTTGCTTAAGCAATCCCAAGTGCTTATCTAAAATAGGGGTGGGGAATAATTTTTGGTGGGGGGCGGGGAGAGAGTCCCATTCCAAGATTTTGGTAAGCAGTCAAGGGCCACACTTTTCTGTGCAGGAGGTGTGGGGTCTATAATGGAGACTGAGTACAGAAAGGCGCACAGAGTAAGGGACTGGGGTGCAGGAGATAGTGTGGGTCTGAGAGGGTGTCTGGGTGAAGGATGGGATTGTGACCTGGGGCAGGGGAATGGGGTGCAGAGTCTGGGAGGGTGCTTGGGTGCAGGAGAGGATTCTTGCCCGGGGAAAGGATGGAAGGGGTACAGTCTGGAAGGGAGTTGTGACCTGGCAGGGGGGTGCAGAGGGTTTAGATGGTGACCTGGGGG